CCGGCGCCTCCCTCTCCGTACCCGCCGCGGGTACCTTGCACTTGGCCGAGACGGGCGGACGCTTCACGGGGACGGGAGCGGGACCGGGATGGGAGGGAGGAAAAGCAGCGGGAGACACCTGCGGCCCAGCCCCGAAAAGAAATCCGCATCCCGGTGCTCCCCGCGGGGCTTCCCGGTGGATTGAGTCCCCCCTCCGCTGCTGCGGCCTGCGGGAGAAGTGACTGCTCCTTTCAGAAGTGTCGGGCGTCTGTCAGCGAATTTCGGGCAATTTGGGGGGAAAAAAAGAAATGATAAGAACTGAAAAAAGCAAGTTCGCTTTTGCGGCGTGTTCGCCAAGTTGGAGAAGCCTTTAAAAAGTTGGACGATTTTTTAAAAGGAAAAGAAAACCAAAGGGAAAAGTGACCCATCTCCACAGCGGCTTCGCTCCAGATGGACACGGCAGCACCGACCCCTCCCCAGCAGTGCGGGAGCCACCACCAGAAACGCCTCTTCTCCCCCCAAAACGGGTGCTCGACGGGCCCATGCCAGCGCCCCGGCCGGCAGCGGCCCCCGGACAGCGCCGGCGCCTCCCTTGATCGAACCACACTTGCTTTTTTTTTTTATTTTTTTGCAATATATTTATGAAGTTTAAGCTTAAAAGTCGTTAATACTTTCTGTATCAGCAGGTCCCCCATTTCCTTCACGCTCGGCCGCCATGTGCCGCTTTGTGCTATGAGTTTGGGTATTTTTTTTCTTCTTTTTGCAGCTAAATTGGAGGGAACTGTTTTTAGCATAAAGGAGTCAATAGAGAAATATTTTCTTAACCAAGGGAGGGCCAAGAGTTCCGACTCCCTGTTGGACTTTACAGCATCCAAGTACTTGTGGAGCAGGTAAAAATCCGTAGCCGGCGTGTGTACCGTGCCGGTGGTTTCCATGGAAGTGCCTCGGAATGGCTCCTTCCCGCCCGGTTTCGGTGCCAGCCCCAGCGTTTCCGACGGGACAAGCCGATGTGCCCGCGCTGCCAACTCTACGTGTGACCCGCGTGGTCTTGTAACCAGATCTTGGAAAATCACTACCATTTTTTTGCATGCTGAATAGCTATTTATATACATATATATATTATATATATATATAAAAGTATATATATATATATCACAAATGCAGGCCACATGTCCAATTCAGCTTTGCTTTTTACAAGTGAAATACTTAATAAAAATGAATGTTGCAAGGTTTTTTTTTTTTTTTTTTGGAAAGACATCTATTTAAGATTTTTTTATTACACACCTTTGATGTAAAAACTAAGAATTGGTTAGATAAAAATCATATATGCTACAGATAAATCTTTATTAGAAACCACATTAGATACAGGTGGTGTGGAATTTTTTAAATGTTTGTTACATAGCATGGACATTTTATTTTACATATCAGAACATAAAGTCATTTTACTGCTATAAACCGCTATTTAAGATTTTTTTATTACACACCTTTGATGTAAAAACTAAGAATTGGTTAGATAAAAATCATATATGCTACAGATAAATCTTTATTAGAAACCACATTAGATACAGGTGGTGTGGAATTTTTTAAATGTTTGTTACATAGCATGGACATTTTATTTTACATATCAGAACATAAAGTCATTTTACTGCTATAAACCGTCTCTGGGTGCATTTCAATAATTGGTATAAAACTGTTCCCTGGGGAATCCTTGGGTGTTTCATCCGGCTTCTCTCCCCTCCTGGCACCGATCCCTCACTCACACTTGACCATTTCACCAGACCATCGCTATGTGCGCAAACTACAGCTGCCTGCTGCAATGCGAAGGGATTTTTATTTATTTATTTGGTTGGTTTTGGTGGGTTTTTTGCATTTTTGGGGTGTTACCTGTTTTTTTAATTGATGCATGTTGATCTGACTGTGAAGAGTGTTGCTGGGCTAAGCAAAGCAGCCCTTGGCCTGAGAACAAGAACACCCAGGTGCTGCTGCCGTCCCCACGTGCAGCTCGGTTACAGGGACGAGCAATAGCCGAGGAATTGGAGGGTCCTGTGGCTGGCAGGGAGCTCCAAGGGTGCCGTGGACCCGAACGTGCAGCGCTCGAGTCATTGCTTGTAAAGACACCGACCCAGCGTCATCCTCAAATCTACGAGTCCAAAGGACAAGCTAATTGGATCTTTCTGCTTATTTTACAAACATAATTAAAAGAATAGAATCATAATCATAGAATCATAGAATGCACTAGCCTTTTCTATGAATACTCATTGCTTCCATTTTTAATCTTTTTTTGTATGCCCTACGGATTGGGTTAAGGCAGTAACTCATCATTGTGGCCGTGCAGAGTTAACTTGCATTAATAAATGTGAGTGGTGGCAGGTGATGTCGCTCCTGGGCGTTCGCTCCGGCCTCGCTGACGTCCCAGATAACCATGGAGCTAAGCAAGGGCCCCGGATAAGCATGGCAAGGGACACACTCTTAGTGTTGGTTTTTTTTACAATAGCACATGGCATCTGTCAGTCCAGAACACAACTGTAGGAGGCTGAGTTAGCACATAAATGTCCATAATTTGGCTCTCCGGTAATCCGGTCATTTAGACTCCTTTTATAGTCAACGGAGAGAGAGGGGAAGTTCATGGCAGACATTTAGGTTAACGTGGGATGACTCATTCCCTGCTGATGAGCTTTTTCCACTTGCAGCGGGATCGCGCTCCGTAGCTCAGGCTGGATTTCCGATTTCTGAACTGCTGCAGTGAAGGGAGCTGGAGCCTTCTGCTGCTTGACGTTTAGGAAAGCATTTGAGTAGCGCTCAGCTCAGTTCTCAGGCTGAGCATGAATCCATCACTGTCGTGTCCTGGCCAGCACATCATGGTTCTGCTCATTGAGGGAGTAAAAGTATTATTTTTTTTCTTTTATTTCTTTTCATTGCAAAATCTGTAATCTGCTTTGTGTGTCTGATCCCAAGAGCTTGTTCGTGAGGTCCCATTGAGACAACCAAGGGCCACCTCGCTTCTCCTGTCCTTGGCATCTGGATGGGTTTGACCATGGTGGCTCCACTTGGAGACTCCTTATGAGGCTCCAGCTCTGCAGCACCGCGACGGGCGATGCTGAAGGGGCAGCTCCTGCCTGGCCACTGGGCGCTACGGATGGCGAGCGCGGCAGTATCCGAGCATCCTGCGGGGCTGTGGACTCTCCCTTCTAGGGGCAGGAAGTTAATGGTCTATTTGTATTTCCAGTCGGCATGAGCAAACTGTGGCCATCATTAGAAGACCTAACAACCTGTACAAGCCGTAAATTAGCCCAAATATGCTTGCTGCTTCCAGGTTTGATTTACTACAGTTTAAACAGCTCTTACTCCTCAAGAATGCAAAGACCTTCGCGGCTATGAAGGCTTTTTCAGTCCTCGCTCTGACTAGGGTGCTTGTTAGAGCCTAGCGCGCAACGGCAACCCAAGCGCAGAAAACCAAGGCCCATTACAAATTGCATTAAGGCAAAAATTAGCAAGCAAGGAAAACTTGAATACATATGAGGTCTGTTTTCCATTGATGTATTCTAATCTGTGCCTAACAGGCTAGGGGATTTTATATATATATATATATGTATATATATACACACATATATATTCTGTTTTTCTTTAAGGTAACGGTCCAAATTTAATGCTGGCGCAAGCAAGCCTAGTTCCACCGAGTCCAACAGCACTTATGCCAACATGGAGTTTGGACCTCACTCTAAATAGAACAAATATTTGTATCAGTTTGCTGAGTATGTGAGTAATAGGAATATTTGCCAAAATTTAAACAAGCTAAATTTAAGTCATGCCAAAAGCCTCGCGATTCAATTTGGTATCATTGGCAGCTCAGAGACTCAAGAGAGGCCTAAGTCTGGACGAGCTGGGGGTGTTTTTGGCAAACACTGTTTTCCTTTTTTTTTTTTTTCCCCTCTCTCTCTCCACATTTTGGAAAAATTGTGCTTCTCTATTAATTTATGATGTCATTAAATAATTCTTTTTGCAGCTTGTATAGAAAGAATGTTTCTTTTGAAGATGAGAAGTCCCCCGAGGATGGTTATAGTGAAAAATTCCAGCAGGAGGAAAAAAATTCATCTCTTCCTTAGCCAATCGAGTCTCCTCAGTAGTGTTTGAAGAGCAAGAAAGAAGGACAATGTTTTAATTTAAGGCCATGTCCCAGAGAGGTGCAGTCACTTTCCTGAGACAAGAGGTAGCTCGATGGCAATGTGAGCTGAGGATTTTCACTGCTTTGATAGTTGGGGGATCTATGGCAAACCCTGACGCCGCGACTCGCTGGTGGCGAGAGCAAGGCTTCAAAGCGATTTCCTTTCCACAAGGTACAGGAGCGATATTAAAAATAAAAGAGAAGGAAATGTTGGGAGCAGTACAACAAAAGCAGAAAGCCCTGTCCAACATGAACCATATTTTAATGTGAAAACGCTGTCATTTGAGAAGCTGCCCCTTGGGCTCCATCTATAAAGATGTCCACGTAGCCACTGGCGCTTGGATGGCTAGTTCATGGTAGGATCCCCAGCCACGGCTTACACCAGCCATGGGGACTACAGACCAGCCTGTGCTGGCTTGAAACTGAACTGAAATTTAAAATTACACTTGGCAGGGGCTACCCAACCCAGTTGAGAAACTATTTGGGTAACTGTTAGAGAAGTTAATTTGATCAGAGCAATGTTTCTAACTGCTTGAAGGTTGCAGTAGCCAAGCAGGCTGCAAAGACACGTGCTCACCTCCTATCACGAAGAGCACTAGGCCAGGTACTGTCAGAAAACACGCCTGTCTGGCTATTTTTGAGGCTTTTTCAAACAACACGGTGAACCCAGTATTTTAATTTTGCTTTGTGGTTTTAAAATCGCAAAGGACTGGCCAGCTGTGAAAACAAGGTGAGAAGGAGGCTTCAAGAACCTCGATTTGCCAAGAGGTGAAAGCATCTAAAACAACAGTGAGGCCTCTGAATCCAAACTGTTGACCCTGACACCTTTATGTAGATCCAGAAACATGTAAAAAAAAAATCCCTCTGCGTTGGGACATGCACAGCATCTTCTTGCTAGGGCTGACAAACTACTGCTCTCAAGTCCTGCAAGACTCCCAGCAGTGCCTCAGGGCTTCTGCTAGAAGAACTGTCCTCCTCTATTAATTAGAAATTCGCTGACACAGAAGTAAAAATCAAATTCCCTGGAACAAATAGCTAGAACAGGTCGAAAGGCTCCTCCTCCACAAGATACTTTTATTTATAATGCATGAGTATATATATGTATATACATACACTCATATTTGTAAAACGGATGGAGCTTTTTCTAAATAAAGGAGATGAAAGGCTCCTCCTCCACAAGATACTTCTATTTATAATGCATGAGTATATATATATGTATATACATACATTCATATTTATAAAATGGATGGAGCTTTTTCTAAATAAAGGAGAAATACACAGGGTCTAGGTGGGGAACAACAGCTTTTAACAGTTCTGAGAGAGCAAATTTGACAACGTGCAGCACCTGGTTGGGTGGATGGCAGTTGACTGGGCCAAATGTAGGTGCCAACCCTTGGCCACCGCTGGCAGGGATGGCTGCAGCCTCTGCTGGGCATCGGCAGCAATGTGAAACAGTCAGCATGGGGCAGATACTGGCCCCAGAGTAAAGGGGATGGCTACTCATGATAATTTAACATTAAAAAATAGAAGCAGCCACAATGTCTTACCTGGTTAGCCACCTTCGAGAAGGCGTTTGTCAAAGGCTTACGTAACAGCACATCAACGGTCACCAACGGGAGAAAAGCACCCAAGATTTTAGGCATATTAGAAAATTTCTGTTTTAAATGAAGCCGCATTCCTCCTTCCCATCCTTCTTAAAAAGCCCTCAGTTCAAAGCTGAGCTGGTTCCCCCCTTGCCCTTTCCCTCCCACCATCTGTCATTATGAAGGGAAGGAGACAGGTTCGGCGCAGCAAACGCTTCCATTGGGATTTCTGGGCAGTCTCAGCTAGAAGGGCCGGGCTCGTGCTCAGAGATGCTTGGGTGATCCATGGGAC